TACATTAAACCCTTTATAAAAGAATAAATTTATTTAAAATCTACAAATCGAGCCAATTTAAAAATTAAAGTACAATTGAAAATGTATTTACTTCAATAAAATTTTAATAACATGCATTAATCCTACGTAAAAAGAGATCTCTTGGTTCGAATTGCAATAAATGAAAAAATTTATTTAATTATGAATATTACATTCATACCTTTTTGAATATCGATACGATATTCCTACCTCATTCTATGTGAACGTTCGTGCATTATTGAATGCAGCATTATATTCTTTGCTACGTAATGGCTATCAGCAACTTTTTACAGTAACTTTTCGCTTCACCGTGGTTGTCCGTTCTAATTCGAGAAATTGCGAAGTTTGTTCTAATAGGTATAAAGTTAACTGCCACAGTAGTGGAGTTGCAAGAGTTGAAGTGGTCGCTTCTGTACCAAAAGCTAACTTCCGTTTGCTCGTTGTTGTGATACTTTACTTCCCTACCTTACTGTCTTTTTCTTTACGACGCTTTATCGCAGATTTACGGTCGTACTAATGCACTTCAATTTTAAACTTGATTCTACCGTGCGTTTCTAATCAAAATTAAACATAAGGTTAATTAATCAACCTTAAAGTATTTATTCGAAGCATTATACATTCTTTAAGTTTGAAATCCATTGATTGCGATTTAGTTAAAGAATTCTAATGCATACACGAGTGTCAATGATTATTTTATTCATTAACCTTGGCGTGTATCAATTTCTCTTGAATCAATTCTCAATTCTCATTCTCGTGTATCAATTTCTCTCGGAGATTCTTTGCCATTATAGTTCAATATTGTTTCAAGGTAGTGCAAACATTATTCTGTGCAACGATTGTCCCGCGCTTTGTCGCGTTGATACGTTTTTCCATTTCAATTTCCGTGCTACAAACAGTGCAGCTGCCGAAGAAAAAACAGGAAGGCAGCATTGCGCCGAACCAAACAGAATTCCATGTTGCGGAAAGGGAAACAAAATAAACGATTACCTTTCCGTGATACGTGCAACGGGAAGTCGCCCAGCAATAATTCACGTCGGCTGTTTTTTATTTTATTTCACATCGAACTGACATTTGGCCTCCACGGGAATCCTTGCAAATTTATTCCATCTTCGAGGATGTAACGGTAGTACAATAAAAAATTACTCACCATTTCTACTCCCACGGGATTCACGTTCCAAGCGTAAATATCTAATGGAGGTCTGCGATTAATTTATTAACCAAAATACACGATGACAGCTCGAGCGAACGTGGACAGGAATTATTAGAAAAATGATACAATATAGACCACAGAATTCCAGGGATGCTCATTGATCTACGAAAAATTATTGCTTCTAGTTGCAATTATTAGCTGAAGGAATATCAAGTCGAAGCGTCGATAAGAACATTTTGCTGACGATTACTTCTCATTAATTTCCTGTGTCATGAAGGATACACTCGCAGTACCAGACTCTAACTTTCTGTCTTTAATCTGACGCTCGCACAGTCCGTGCGCTTTGAGATTCTAATAACCGAGGTATTACATCATCCAGAAGAAGTTAGTCGACGCTTGAGTAACATATTCACAGATGACAGTTTCGTCTCGTCACGCACTCGGCATCCAACTCGACATCATTCAAATTCAAATTCGCGCGAAGTTATTGCAATTAATCCAATCCCTGTCACTCAAGAGCCGAGCTGTTCAACAATCGTTTCACGAGCACGCGTGCTACATTGGTCGGCGCGAGGCTTGTTAACCAAGAGAAATCGCTATGTTGCTGTCATTTAGGATTAATAAACTGCTTCGATAATCCACTTGAACGCCCGAACACGGCAATCGACCGCGTTCGTCGCGCAAGTATTGATAATCAGATGAACGTCCGTTAAACGATAGCGAAACGTTAAACGACATCGACGACGGTACCCCGGGACCCATTAACGTCTCGTCTAATTGGTGACTTTACGGTCCCAATCTAGCAATTAACATGGCGCGTATAGTTAGGCGCATAGTGGCTCGAAAGTCGTATGTACTGGCCAGAATTCCCAGAGGAATTAAATATATTGTGTTGTAACCAACCAGGGAACACTGAATGCCATTAAAAAGCAATTTTCTTCCTGGGAAAATTGATTTATTTTGTTGGTTCGAGGATTCAATTATTTAGGAATTTTACTGATTGAAGGGGATAAGAAAGGACTTTATTTTAAATTGGTTGACTCTTTACACAATATTCAGAATAAATTATATAACATACAATTGATTCGCATTAAAATAAAATAGCAGAGTGCAAAAGTAAATAAAATTATATAATCGAATAGAACCATATATTGTATGTAACAATTATTTAGCAATTTTGTAGGCAGTACACTCTAGAGAATTACAAAATTCCTAGCACTACATATTTCTGTTGAGAAATAAAATTTATTTAGAAATGAGTAGAATCGAGCGAAACAATTTTTGGTTGAAGGAGGGTTGACAAATTCGGGACGGCCCTCGAGCGGTGAGCATTTACGTTTAGGCTTGGCACGCGTAATTGTGCGAGGAGGATACGCGCTATTGTTTCACCCCCGTTGGCACCTGCCTGATCATTTGATCGTTAGCGGTTAATTAACGCCGCAATAAACAGTCAGGAGATTATAACTTGGCAGCGCTGCGCGCCAGTTCGATTCGCGGCACGGCTCTTATAATTTCCGGCAGCGACAACGGCTGAGGGGGAGCAGGAAAGGGAAATTCAGATTACGCTTCACGCTCGGGGATGCGCGAATTCGCGGGGGCCTCTGGGCTTGATTATTCGCGTTGCCATTGAAACATTTAAGCGCGCTTCCTTGGGCTCGATCGGGGTTTAAGCAAGTGGAAAAGCAATTATAGGAGTCCACGGTTATAAATGGAAACTGTGGTAAGAATAGCGTCGAAAGATGTTTCTGAGAACTGTACTATCCGGTGGGGGAAATGCGCGGCACGAATGGCTGGGCAATATTCATAATGAATAAGGTTCAGGATAATACCAAACAAGAGAACCGAGAGGATAAGGTAACGAGAACATTATTTGTGTATATTTTATACAAATTCAAATAGATGATAATGTAGTAGATAATTAGTGGCAAACGAGATGGTTACAGGAGTTAAAATATTAAAGACCCAGAAATGGGTGACAGGACTTTTCATTAATGAACTAGAAACAAAATTCCAAGGATGAGGCGTTAATAAAAATAAATGTAGATAGGATTCGTGAATTTGACGGGGTTAAAAAGTTAAATGCTACGACAAATGTTACGTAATCTTCAACAGTCTCGAGACAGAATTTTAATTTGGTAGAAATTTTCACGAGTATCAGTCTGGCAACCAATGTGTTGACAATGTTTTTAGTGCTTAAATGCTATATATTTATAGTACACGTATGTAAGCGAAGCGAACTAATATGAAATATAGGGTATGAGAGGAAGCATCGAACTGACGGTATAAATCAGAAGAGAGTCACTGGGAGATCTGAATGTTCGGAGTCCATGATATCGCGAGAGTTCCCAACTTCCGCCATTTCTGACAGTAAATATAACCGCAACCGCGGCGGCTGGTAGACACGCTGGATCACCATTACGGATAAATATCTTCTGCAGTTAGTAGTGGAAGTCGTCTACATTCGCGAGGAGTCCTACGAGAACTTCCTCTGCCAGGGCTCCATAATCGTTGGAAACGAGTTTCTGGCCCTTTTTTCCTCTCGCAAAATGCACGATTCTCCTGAAAGCTCTTGCGTGGAAAAATCCGAACGTTGAATTCCCCCGAAACGATGGTTCGCGCGTATTTGCTGCTTACGATTATGTTTTTCCACTCGAAAAAGAACAACCATCCAAACGTACCTTCAACCTTCCTAAATTCTCACTCCAACCTACATAAAGATCTTCCAATCGTTCTCGATTTCTTTGTACGTGGAATTACCATAAGTCTTCCACAATTCGGTGATCCCCTGTGGGATCGTGGCGTTATCGTTTTGGAATATCCTCTATAATATAAAACGAAGCCACTTTTCTCTCGTGTGTGGATAATAAGGGATTAATGTTATGGCGTCATTTCTAATAATTATCGCTTTAATTGGACGGGCTGCGGTAATTCATCCGTGAATCGCGGATCAGTCGACATAATGAGTGAAATTATCATCGAAACACGGAGGGATTATAATATGCGTATACTACAATGACGGTTCCATTGTTTCTTTGCGCTGCAGTGGCCGATCATCCATCATTATATTTCCGCAAATTTATTTATTTTATTTGTTTCATGGTTTTCAATGTTCTGGTTGGTCAGCCACAGGATGGGAAATGAAGCAATTAAATATAATTCCTATCTCACTTTGAACTAATTAGAAGGGAAAGGTTAGTAGCTGAAGAATTGGAGTCTTTAGAAGCCCGGACATGGAAGCTCTCTAGGAAGGGCGCTTTAACACGCGCGGATTTCCATACCACCAACGACTCCGTCGGCTTCGTGGAAGCCACTACAGCCAGGAGCCCTGTTATTAACATATATCAAAGATGCACCAATTCAATTAGCTTAATTACCCTGTCTCGAAACGACAGAAACTCGCTTAAGGTAGTAGTTAACCGCGCGTGCGCAGTCATGCTACCCCGTCATGTAACGCGAACCCCATTTAACCGAGACGTAAACTCCCCGAAGAGTGACGCGTTGCGCTCGTAAAGGAGCATCCACCCCTCTGTGGAAGTTCCTCTTTCCATGATTTGATTTGTCGGAATTCCATTAAAACCGAATGGAAAATACTCCGCCCTAATTCTTCTGTGGTCGAGCAAACCCTCGACGATACCAACGTGATAATTCGTGTCAGACGAATTACGTTTCTAATTTCATTGAGTGAAAATCTTTATTTATTTTAAACTGCCAAACTTTTGTGGGTAGTGAATTCATCTTTGCAAATAATTATAGCATACACACATACGTTTTCTTATGAATGATTATTGTATTATGTATTCCTTAATAATTTTTTTCTATTTGTGTTCAATAGGTAAGAAGTTGAAATTATTAACCCGTGTGACCTCGTTCGGGAGTCTCAATTTTATGTGAGTTTTATCATTTTTATTCTACTCTAATTCTTTCGTTGCTACTACAACACGACTACATTATTGACTTCTGTGAATTTTATACACGTCTACGAAATTAACGTTTACGATTTAATATCTTTAATATTACCTACCTCACAAATATCCACATCTTCGCCAAAATTTTCACAAACATTTCTCGAAAAATAAGCTCTTAATATTCCTCGTAAATATTCCTATCAATTATTTAGTATCCCCCCAAAAACCTACCTCTTTTTACGCTAAAATTTCTGTTTCATAGCACGCCGCGAGAAATGTCATAATCTCGGTACAGACGTTCCGCGGAACAGACTGACAAGCACGTCGCGATGCCACGTACACAGCATTATCATATATTAAAGCGTATCAGACGTCGCGTGCATCAGCGTTCGTGCATAATTCACGCACGACGCGTGCACGGAAGACTCCGGAGCCGTTTTTCCAAGGCAGCCTCTTGCGTTATGCTTTCCTGGCCTCGCGGGGGTATCCTGACTGGAGAACTGAAAAGAATCGGCCGCGATCCCATAAAGGCTTCGAATGCATCCGCCGCCCGCTGCCTTCTACCTCGTTACGCGCGCAGAAATATCGACGTTGGCGGGGGAGGGGGTGGTAGTTCAATGTCTACCCATTCCGCCCTAAGGGTAGAATTTTTTCCTCCACCTGTGTCTTTTCACCACCCCCGCGGAAGCCGGTCCATTGGCCTCGCGAATGCAACGGGTAATTCCAGCGCGATTCATCAAAGGTAAAAGCTTGGTGTGAATAGAGGGGGCCCAGGCGATGCGCGGAGTTGCGGGATAGTGGGACGGTACGACGGGCGAAATGAAAAACGGAACATCAAAAATAAATGCGCGAGGGGAAAAAAGAGAACGTCTACCGGAAACCGTTCTAACGCGCGAATTGCGGTGTTCTTTGTGCTCGCGCTCGCTGCGCGCATACGGAGGACGTTTCGTTCTCTTCGTGTTCCTCGTACGGGGGGTATGTAAAGTGGTTGTGTAAATGACCATTATCTTGTTGCGACCTCCGGCAAATTGTGTGGAAAAGTGGGCGCCGGGAGGTTTCTTTTCTCGTGTGGCTGCTTTGGCACCAACTGGACGCTTCCAACCTTTTTCACTTGGGCCAAGAGTGGGAAATATTTGTGATTTTTGAGAGAAAAGAAAGTACAAGACGTTCGTTCATGAAATGATCGGTTTTTGCTTGAAAATGTATTCCTATTAACCCATTCACTGCCAACTACGAGATGTCTTACTCAAGGGATAAGCTTATAGCCTTTTGAGTTACGAATTATTGCAAAAGAAGATCATAAATTTACTTTTTAAAACAACAAATTTAATATCACTTTTTATTATCAAAATAATAATTTAGATTACACATCTGTATTAAATCTTGACGTCCAAGGCAAAATGCTTTTTTGCTTGGGAGTAAATGGGTTAATGGTTGCAAACAGTAGTAGCACTCAGAACTTTTCATTATTAATCATTCACCATTCAAATAATAAGTACCCTACTGTAATCGACAATAGAAGCGTACCGAGGACAACAAACTGCACGAATTGTTCATTTACAATGTAACTATACAATCGTACGAATTTGTAAATGCCATTCGAGATAAAGGCAGACCGAGTACTCGTACTTGAAGATGAATCGTGTTAAGCTCCCCAGTCACAGAAAAATTGGCAAAAGAACAAAGTGCTTTGCACCACAATGGCGTCAGCTTTCTGAATACGGGCTCATTAAACCGGTGAAACGCAGCCAGCGATTCTTCTCTGACATTCATTGTGGTCGCGATGCATCCCTCTCGAAGAAACAAGAGTTGAACTTGGACGAATTAAATCACTGCCATCGATTCGTACCGATGATAAACATTCAATGACAGCAATAGCATTCATGTGCGTATCATTCTGCGCTGCTGAGGGGTGTAAACGCTCCGTTGTCGAAGATAACCGACATTTTCCTGTTTATTATCAAGCGAAACGAACCATAAAATACAATTACAATGCAAGAGGGCGCGATCGCAGCTCGCGCAGCGACGGTTAATTCAACCAATTTTCATCGTTCCGAACCAATTACCGATAAAATTCAATTGCGCTCACGCGTAACAAAACCCCGCGAGTGTTGCAGCGTTTCTGGTCTCATGTAAATTACTCTGGACTCCTCTTTTTTGCAGCTGTCTGATCTAGAATTTCATTGTTTGTTGCGTTGCAGTAAGAGAGCATTGTGAGATCATTGTACAGCACGTAATAGCTTTTCTCTCGAATTGCTGCCAACAAATTCATTACTGATGAAAGAATAAAAAAAAACTCGTGAAGAAAACTGATGGAAATACAAAAAAAAAATGTTAAGTAAGGAGCACTACCAGATCTTTCCAACAAAAACTCATTCTTTGCATTGCCCTAACGCAAAACAGAAAACCCTTTCTTTAATCATTACTCCTTTGAATTCGAGCAACTTCTACACCGTGGCGAATCCGATACGACGAGACTGGAACTGGCTCCCGTCCCACTTTTTCCGCTCCTCGAGCAGCAACTTATCGAGTCGGACATCCGAGTACAAAGTACTTCATTTCGCTTCAGCAGGGACAAACGGGGGGCCAAGATAATCGGGGAGGAGACTGGTTGGAACATCGTCGGAAACTTCACCCTGTAAATACGAAAAACGAACATTGGAGAACACTGGCGATACGGCGGACTGTCCAGAGAAGAAAGTAATAAAGGAGAACTGGCGGTGCACTCTCTGCCGCGTCTCTGTGCATAGTTGCGTCTCTTAAGTTACGCTGGTTGGGAACTTGCTGACTCGGTTGCGGTGCGTTTAAATCTTGGCAATGGGCTTCCCGGGGCTCCGCTATTTTCCAGGGCCACTTTATTACCTGGAATACCGTGGAAGCTCGTTAGGAAAAGCTTCGGCTAGTCGGCGTCCAAACGATGATTCATCCTCGAATTACCTGGCCACATTTCTCTCTCTCTCTCTCTCTCTCTCTCTCTCTCTCTCTCTCTCTCTCT